CTATTTTATTTCAGCTATTCATAAGAAGTTTCTCGTGTAATATGAAAGTTAGTAGTTACAATTAATTGATGAAAAATAAATACATATATTTAAGTTGTTCTGTCCACCCCACACGTGTGGGCATCGATGGCTCAGCATCTGACAGCATGCTTGGTAAAGCAGAGGAGGGGTGAGAGGAAGACCCTCACGGAGATGGGCTGACTCAGTGGCTACCATGGGCTCAAGCACAACAACGGTGAGGCTGGCACAGGGCCGGGCAGTGTCTCCTTCTGCTGTGTACAGGACTGCGGGGTCTCAACCGATTCGACGGCACACAGCAACAGCAATCAGCACTCGATTTTCATGACCAAAAAGCCCCAAACTGTTCAATGTCAACAATTTATTTATTCTGGTAGGAAAAAATGATTGTATTTATTGCAATATCCATTTGTAGGTTAAGCAATACTTTGATAAACAAAGCAATCCAAATATATGAAGAGTAAATATCAAGTCATCCTGAATCTCCCTCTCCCTTCTAGATTTAGACTGTGCTCAACTATTCTGTCCGCTTATTGCCAACCTTTTAATTTACGGTTAGACAAACAGAAGCTAGGTTCCCCAGCTTCAACACTCCAGAGTTAAGATTTCTGTCATTTCACTGAAAGAATAACCTAAAATAATCAGGTCAGAGAAAATGAACAAGTAAATATGAATTTCACTAAAAATACAGCATTAGAGTTATACATTTAGTATCACTAACCAAATGCTTAGGCAGGTAATTATGTTTTTAAGTAAAGTGTAAATAGTTCATCAACTTCTAAATAGAAAGACCTATATAGGAAATCTAATTTTATAAAATTAACTCAACATACCGTTTGTATGTCTGCATGTGTGTGTAAGTGTCACTTCCATAAGATTCCCAGAAAAGAGAATTGCGTCTCCCGTTCCTACTTATTTTTCAATGATTGTTTAACAGTGAAGTCAGTTTACATGAGAAGAAATTTTGAATAATCCTATTTAAAAAATCAATGCAAACAAATGTGACTTTTGTTTAATTCTTCAGTTATTTACCCATTAATCTCTGTGTTTCCTTCCTTACCACAGCTGTAGTTCAAGAGGTGGCCAGCAGTTGGCCTGAATTTCAGTGGATTTTCATTAACTCCCAGGTTTCTCTTTGCAAACTTTTAAAAATATTCAATGCCTAAACAACTTTTCATAACTTAAGAGCTTATAAAAGGTTCTCAAAAGGAGTCCAAAGGAAACACATTTTCTTTTAACAATAAAATAAGCAAACAAAGGGAAACCACACGCACTTTAAAGATGTTCTCTGCAAAACATTCTGTTGGGCAGATTCCAGTGTCTCCAAAGGGATCGAGAAGCACTTGGCTGGGAAGCAGCAGCTGAGAACACAGAGACCAGAGAAAAGCCACGAGCCACGGCCGTGAGAGGCTCGCTGGCGTGGGCGGGGAGATGCCTGAGATAACAGGCACTGGGCCTTCCCAAGTCCATCCAGTTTTATGTCTACAACTTCAGCCACGACAGTGGTCAAAAGCCTGTTCTTTTCTTCTTTTACACTTTGCCCCTAAAGACTGTGGCCCTACTAAGAGAGTGTCAATGGAGAAGGCTTAGATCTGCGTCTCCATTTCTCTGATGTCTCATCCAAACTATCTCCATGTCCTGGCTAGAAAATTCCCACTGGGATAGATAGCAGCAGCAGCAGCAGCAGCAGCAGCAACAGCAGCAGCAGCATCATCATCATCATCATCATCATCCCATCCCCTATGTAAAGCATTCAAAACTCATTCATCTTTATCAAACAAATTCCTCCTTTCCGCTGCCTTTAAAAAAAAACAAAACAAAAAACATCACCCTCCTTTTTCTAGAAGCAGGGTTTATACCACTTGAGCAATCTAGGATTCCCTGGTGACCACAGATACCCACATGCAGGTGGCTCATAGGATAGACTGTATTTTTCAATGGTCTTCCCCCCATCCCACAGGTACTTCTACAAAATGATCTTTCCACTTCCCCATCAAAAGGTGGAGTCTAATTCCCGCCCCCCTTGAATTCCTGCTAGCCTTATGATTCCCTTGTAATAGAAAGTAAAAGAGGGGTGGTGACGGGGCGGACTGGAACAAGACTATCACATGTCTAAAGTCAGGTCAGGAGAGAAGCTTGCAACCTGGTGCTCATGAAAGACTCCATCTGGTGGAAGCCAGCTGCCATTAAGAAAGTCAGCTTCTCTGAAGTGGCCAAACTGGAAAAGACGTGGAGCCACTCCAGCTTCCCGAGTTTCCCAGCCATCCCAGCGAAGCTGCCGGAAATGTGAGGGGACCAGCACTGAACCTTCCTGGCCACCTAATCTGCCAGCTGAGCGCCACTCACTGGCCCCAATAAATGCCCTGAGATGACATCACCCAAACAAGTCTGACCTAGTTCTTGACATACAAGACCATGCATTGTAGCATGTCTACAAGTTCGAAGCATTTAGTGGGTCACGTGTGGCGATATTACGACATAGGGCCAAATGTTAACTCAGACTCCCCTTCTTTCTCTGCATTCCCAGAATCACCATCACACAGGAAGCCTTCCTTCCTCTCAGATCTGTATTGTTATAACTGACTCCAAGCTCTCTACACGATAATCTGCCGTTCCAGTACACTGAGCTAGCACCTCCACCCCGAGAACTGCTTGAGGTAGTTACTTTATTGTGCCAATCTGGCCGATGAACATATGTGGGGTTAATTGAAGGACGGAAGGATAAATGACTCGGTAAGCCTCGCCCTTCTAGTTCTTGGGTCTCTTGCTTTCTGATGGTTGGACCAGGGTGCAGCTGCCTTAGCCAGTTCCCTGGTTCAGCTGGCAAGGCTCACTTCCTGCATGACATCCCTGAGAAGACACATGGACCTACCCTGATGAAGCCCTGGGTGCTGGAGCAGCAGTGTGGAGAGCCCTGCCAGTGCTCAGATGCTTACACCTTCACTGATTCGGCTTTCCTCCTGCAGTCGGTGTCATAGTGTGTGTTTTGTGAGATGGAGGAGGACTTTATGGATCGGTGCTGGACATGTGGGCTAAGAGGTTAATGTTGGACTTGTGGGCTTGGGCTGCACTGGGTTGGGATGCTTTCTTGATGCGCACTTAACCTTTATATAAAACTCTCTCTTATACATGAGTTTCTGTGGATTTGTTTCTCTAAAGTACCCAGACTAACACACTGCTTTTATATATGAACCCTACAGCCAATATCAAATTTATAATCCTTGTGCATTGTCTATTATACATGTCTATTATATTTGAAACACACACACACACACGAGAAATCTGACAGGGAACCTTCTTTGTCTTACTCTAGAGATGAAGCAATCCGAGGCTGAGAGCAACTAGCCCTCCAGTCTCTGCTCCCTGATGCCTCCCATAGTCAATTTCAGATAAAAATTGTTCAGTGCATCTCTCCTACAGTAAATGTGCCTCCAAAATATGCCAAAGTCGCTTTTATCTATCCAGTTGTATGGTATTGCCTCTTAAATTCCAGCCCACTGTGGTAAGACGACTTTCTGGTTCACCTACTATCATACCACACATCAATTCAACAGTCTGTGAACATTTGCTTATGAGTTCCTTAACGAGAATGCCAGCCTTTTTCCTTTAACTGCCTAAACCTTACTCATTCGTCAGCCTAAGTTCCACCTGGTCCATGAAGTCCCACCAGCCACCTTGACCTGTTGCTTTCTCTCCAGGTGTTCCTACAGAATTGGCAAATTCCACTTGTGTGGGTTCTTCACATTCAAGTGCATCGATCTTCCATTCCAGCCTGGTACTCAGCTCAAACACAGTCTGTACATCCAGTGAGGCTGAGTGTGCACAGCAGCGTTTGTTCTGACTGGTCAGTGCCCACACCAGTCAAAGATGCTGTTTTCATCCCAGCCTATTTCCCAAACCGAATCATCAGTCTTGGGAACAGGCTACGTGTCTATGAAAAAGATACACATGCCCCCCAAACAGAGCACATATGCCCCCCGCTTGTGTTCAGTGTATAGGTCATTGATCTGAAGTGTGCTGCGTTGTGAGAAAAACTACTTGTAAATCCTATCAACACTGAAAACAAAGAGTTGAAAAAGTAATACAATCTTTTCAGGATCAGCAGTTTAATGTCACCGCCATTTTAAAAGAATCATTTAAAGAGACTCTGTGGCTAAGAACTGCCAGAAGGTCTACTAAATATTTTTACCAGGAGTGTGAAAAGGTGTTTTAAAAGTATGTTTCAAGGAGCAGAAGTCTTAGGTGCCAAAAATAAAATGTTTGCTGAGGCCACAAGGCTGGCATAACTCTGCTTCATTTCAAAAAATTTCCAGGCAATGGAAATGTTTTCCTGGAAAATACTACCTTTTATTTAGAGAACACGTTCCATGAACCCTTAGTCATTAAGTAATTGAAGGTTTCCTCACAAGCTCTTTGGAGGCAGTCTATTATATGAATGAATGAAATTATCAGCACCTATAACGTCTAAAAATAATAATATGCGTAGCTAAAGACACAAAGTTTACATAATTTTTTTTCTAGGGAAGAAGGTGTATTTTTTGGCCTACATATGTCCTTTTAAGTTTTTCTACATGATAAAATCATGAAGCAAAACACCAAATCCTTAAGTGTTTCTCTGTTATATACACAAATAAAAATAAAAAAAACGAGTGTTTTTTATTCCAAATGCTATATAATTTTCAAACAGACAAAACACTTACTCCATTCAATAAAAAGGAGTAGCAATTCCAAAGCTATTTTTAGCAAAATCTTTGCATTTGATTCAAATCATCATGGAGTGAGCAAGCACTTGGTACGGGCATTTCACACAATCATCCACGCAGTATGTTACACACGGAAACCTAAAAAAACAATTTCTTCCAAGAGTGTTGCAGCCAACTGAAGTCTTATTCTTGTAAACATCAAAAGACACAACTTCAAGCACAGGGTGTGTACACAGAGTCTTCAAAAACTTACACAAAATGCTACTTGTTCGGTTTTACCTGTTTAGCGTTTCAGTGAGTTTCACAAAGCCGGTGTAAGCCAATTCAAATGCTCCTCTGTGCCTGGATTGTAAAAGGTGCTGTTTAAAGTAATCTCCCATGTCTTTTACCTTAAGGAAAAAAAAAAAACGATAGATGCTCAATTTATGTATATAATTACAGGTGTGTTAATGACAGTGTATCATTTAGAACTCAGGTCCAGATGCCCATCCATTCAGCATTTAACTATGTGAGAGGTACTGTTTTAAGCCTTTTTCAAAATACCATCTTACTAATCTTCACAATAGTCCCATGTACTGGGTACTAATATTGAATTCACTTTTCAGATAAAGAAACGGAGGCCAAGAAGGGCTAAGTCACTCAGCGAGTAAGTGGTGGGGCCAAAACATAAACTCTCAGGTAGATGGTTCCAGAGTCAGCCATCTTTACCTGTTGCACTAGAGCTGTGAGCTTCCAGCTTCACCCAAACCTCACTGTGCGCTTTTTGATAGCTCATGTCATTCACTACCACTGGCAAATCCTGAGATGACGACATGCACCCACCCTGGCCTGGGTGAACTAATTTATTACCTCTTAATTAACTAACCACCCCCTGCGGTCAAGTCAATTCTCACTCATAGCGACTCTACAGGACAGGACAGAGTAGAACTGTCCCCGTGGTGTTCCAAGAGAGAGTAGAAAGTCTCATCTTTCTCCCAAGGAGCGCCTGGTGGTTTTGAACTGCCGACCATCTGGATAGCAGCCCAATGGGTAACCAGGGGCTTTGTCAAGTTAGTCCACAGGGTCTGCTAAAATACTGACAAGCCTGACTTTCATGAGACCTGGGACTTTACCAGCATGGCAACCAACTGCTCACCTACAGGCTTCCTGTCTTCATGCAAGAGCAGACAACCAACAGAGCTGACAATTTAAAGTTTTTAGATCATGGGATTATAAACCAATCACAGGATATCAGGAAAAAGGACCAACAAAATGCATCAAGCAAGAGCTCTCCGCCGGTGACACCGCAACCCCGAAACTGAGACACACACCAGCCAGGAAGTTGCTGAGATAAGGTTGCGTGCACTGCTCACTCTTTAAGGGTCTCGACTTACACCCCTCAAAGCTGGCTTTATCTCTGCCTCTCAGCCAGGGCCATTCTGAAAGAACCTTTCATTATGTGATTACAGGGCAGCAGGAAAGGCAGACGTGCCTCGGAACGAACACATTTTCATTGTGGGGAAGCTGGTGAGGATGCACTGCTTCCTAAGGTGAGATCTAGGGAAATGGACCACTTGCTAAAACATTTGTTAGCCAGGTGACTGGCTGTGCCATCACTTGGGAAAATGTGGTTGGATCTGAGAAGCAGGGAAAACTGAGCTTAAAGAAAAATTCAAGGAGCAGTTCAGAACAAAGCAGGTAGCTCTGTGTTCTGCCGGAAGACAAGCTGGGAAGGAAAATTAGGTTCTTGTTCCAAAGCTGCCACAAACCAGCTTTGTGATCCTGGGTAAAAAAAAGGTACATCCAAGGGCTTCTGTTTCCTCTTGTTCACAAGAGATGACTAATCCCAGCTCTGTAATTTTCCCAGCTCTAATGGCTTGTGAATGCAGCACCGAAAACTGAAAAACTCGGGGTCTTTATGATAAATGTGCACCCCTTCTCTTGGGACAGCAGCAAAAAAACCCTAGATGGGAATCTCACTACCATCCAACTGGTGACACATCTTCACCTGTGTTTTATTGACATGCAGAGGCATCTGACTGTGTTGTAACAAATTATAGATCATATGGAAAAGGGTGAAAATTCCAGAACCCTTCACTGTGCTCATGTGGAATCTGTACATGGACCAAGCAGCAGTCAGCGGAAAAGAACAAGAGAACACGGCATCGTTTAAGAGCAGGGAAGTGTGTGGCAAGGCTGTCCCCTTTCTCTATCTTCACTCAGTCCGTGTAACCGAGACCAAACTCGCTGCCGTGGAGTCGATGGTGACTTACAGCGACCTTAACAGACAGGCAAGAATTGCCCCTGGGAGTTTCCAGAATTGTAACTCTTGCCCCGTCTTTCTCCCATTCAATCTGTATACTAAGCAAACCATCCCAGGTGCTGGAGTGGGTGAAGAGGAAAGGGGCCTCGGGGTTGGAGGAAGCTTCACGAACAACCCGTGATATGCAGGTGACACAGCTTTGCTTGCTGAAATAGAAGAAGACTTAAGGCACTCACTGATGAAGATCAAAGAGGAGCCTTCAGTACGAATTTTACCTAACCTAAAATAAAACCCAAGCCCTCACGAATGCACCAAGAGACATCCTCCTAAGAGAGAAAAGACTGAAGTTGTCAAGGATTTAATTTTACTCAGATGTACAATCAATACTCATGGAAATATCAGTCAAAAAATCTCATTCCATACATCACTGGGCAAATCAGCTACAACTGTCTTCTCTAAACTATTAAAAAGCAAAGAATTCAGCCTGAGGAATAAAGTTCTCCTGACGCAAGGCATGGTATTTTCAAACAGCTGATAGGCATGCAATAGCTGGACAACGAATAAGGAAGACAGACAAAAGAATTGCTGCCTTTGAATGATGATGTTGTTGAAGTATCCTGACTATGGCGATCGCCTGCCAGAGAACAGACGAATCTGAACTGGAAAACAGTACAGCCAGAATGCTCCTAAAAGCGAGGATGGCAAGATTCAGTCATACTTTCAGGAGGAACCAGTGCCTGAGAAGAACGGCATGCTTGAAAGGGGGTCAGGAAAAAAAGAACAAAACCCTCAATGAGAGGGACTGACACCGTGGCTGCAATAATGGGTTGAAACATAACCACAATTGTGAGAATGGCGCAGTGCTGGGCACTGTATCATTCTGTTGTACCTAAGATCACCGTGAGTCTCTAGACACTCCACAATACCTAACAATGGCAACAGGCAGAATCTAAGGGGCTACCTCTTTAACAAGGGTCCAGAAAATTAGGGTGAGCTTAACGAATAGGTTAAAAAAGAAATCTCTCTCTCTTCTCCCTGCCAACCCTCACATTTCAAATGACGGCAGGCGTGATGGGTGAGTGGAGAACGTTAGCATCCTGGGCTTCTTTAACAGCTTCCTTCATCCACTGACAGAAGAGCAGATCGCAGTGGTTCTCGGGAAAAACAAATGCAAGTTGTACATATGTTCTCCTCCGCACCAAGTGACACACAGGAGGGCTATCTGCAGGGCTTTCTTGGCTGCTTTCTTAAGCCACGCATCGGAATCATCTCAATGACAACCAACTAACACGAATAACAATGGTCTTCATGGAAGCAGACGACCAGGCCTTTCCATGGTGCCCGTGGGTAGCTTCCAACTGCCAATCATTAGGTGCACAGTTGAGCACACGGTTTGCAAGTCACTTCACTACCTTTGTTTCAGCAGGTCTGTTGTAATCATGCTCTCCTTCCATGCCGACTCCTAAATCAGTAGTTTCTGCACTAGGTCAACAGCAAATCTAGAGTGGCCAGGGTATTTAGAAGAGCGTACCTTAGGTGTGGACCAGCCAATTGAATGTAAATGGCATCATTTTCTAATATTTATATTTTTAACTTTTAAAAGTTTTAACTACATCTCTCCAAAATCAAATCTACTGCCATTGAGCCAAGGCCAACTCCTATCAGCTCTGTAGGTCAGGATAGCTATTCCCTGTGAGGTTCTAAGACTGTAACTCTTTGGGAGTATAGAAAGCCCTGTCCTTCTCCAGATGAGTGGCTGGTGGTTTGAGACAGCTGACCTTGTAGTTAGCAGTCCAATGCTTATTCAACAGTGCCACCACGGCTCATCAAATGTTAAGTGATCCTAAACTGAGACACAACCTTCACTAGTCAGTTTGTCGTGTTGCGGTGGCTCGTGTACTGCTGTGATGGTGGAAGCTATGTCAGCAGCATTTCAAATGCCAGTAGGGTCACCCAAAGTGAACAGTAATAACTGAACAAGTAAAATGTTGCTGAAGATCATTGAACAATTGCAGCACTACACTGACAGGGAGCTGCCAGAGGTTCAGGCTGGATTCAGAAGAGCACAAGGAACCGAAGACATCACTGTTGATGTGAGATGCACATTGGTGCAAAGGAGTGAATTCTAGAAAGATGTTTCCTTGAGTTTTATTGACTACGCCAAGGTATTCAATTGTGTGGATCATAATAAACTGCAAATAGCCTTGAGAAGAATGGGAATTGCAGAACACTGCTCAGGCAGAACTGGTGCAGGGAGCAGGAGGCAGTTGTGCGAAGGGGACACTGCAAGGTTTAAAAGCTGGCAAGGTGTGTGTCAGGCTTGTATCCTCTCACCATCCTTATTCAATCTGTACGCTGAGCAAATCATCTGGGAAGCTGGATTAGATGAAGAAGACTGCGGCACCAGGACTGGAGGAAGGCTTATACAGAACCTGCAATATGCAGATGACACAACCTTGCTTGCGCAAAGTGAGGAGGACTTGAGGCACTTGCTGACGAAAATCATGGAGTGCAGCCTTCAAGATTAATTACAACTCAGTGGAAAGCAGACCAAAATCCTCACAACTGAGACAACAGGTCACATCAAGATAAATGGAGAAAAGACTGAAGTTGCCAGGGATTTTGTCTCGCTTGAATTCACACTCCGTGCTCATGGCAGCAGCAGTCAGGAGCTCCAAGGACGAGTTGTGTTAGGTAAATCTGCTACACAAGGCCTGCTCATTGTCCCGAAAAGCAAGGCTGTTACTTTGAGGACTATGGCGCACCTGACCCAAGCGGTGGTATTTTCCATCGCCTCATATGGACATTGAATAAGGAAAACCAAAGGAGAATCAATGCATCTGAAATGGAGAAGAATATGGCAAGTACCGTGGACTGCTAAAGACAAGGAAATCTGTCCTAGAAGAAGTACGGCCAGAGTGCTCCTTAGACGCAAGGATGGTGGGTGAGGCTTCAGCTTACATCCTTCAGACATGCTGCTGAGAGAGGCTAGCCCCTAAAGGACATCATACTTGGTAAAGCCAGGAGAGGAGCAGTGGAAAACAGGGAGGCCTCAAAAGACGGACGGACAGTGGCTGCAACAGGGGGCTCAAGCGCGGAGCAACGGCGGGGATGGCGCTGGCCCGGGCAGCGCTTCATTCTGTTAGGGCGCTAGCCCTTCACAGCAGCAACCCACTGCGATGTTTCCTTTACGTCATTCACATCAAGAACGAAGTGCGCCACCGTACACGCAGTGTCCGTGTTTGAACAGCGCAGTCATGTGTGTGCATTCCTGGGCCCACACTCAGTCTTGTCTCATGAGTGAAATGACTAGACCTGATTAGAACTGACACTGCTATTGGACAAAAAAACAAAAAACCCGCCAGGGCTCTAGTTTCTGTGCCAATAAGGGTCCTGCGGAGAGTCCTTTGGCTCCTGTGAGTTTCTGCTATTGCTGCTGCTTGTCTTCCCTTTACACTGACTTTCTGGAATTCCCCCATTGAACATGTCTATCCTATAGACGTCGGCGAGGGGCGCAGCAACTCATTGGCAGTGACTCTTGAGTGGCTGTTGGCCTTTTTTGTTTTGAATCTCATATAAATAAAATCCCTACCATTTGGCTGCTGTGTCAAAAGTCTCAGGGCAAAACGATTGTACTAGGAAGCAGCGGGTCTGTTTTGCTACAGTAAAACCAAAATGTCTCTCTCTCTCCCGCTCTCTTCTCGGTGAAGCGCGACTCCACAAACAGCCAAAGCTGGGGGTTTTCACTTGTCCTTGGGAAGAAAAGTTGGGAAGTCAAAGGTTTACTTCCTAGTGAGATGCTGCGCATCCGCGAAGTAATCGTTAATAGCTGGATTCCTTCGGCGAAGATGTTGGCATTGGCATGGGAGCTGGTTACCAGCAAGGACTACAGCTCGCACCAGGGCATTCATGCCTATTTGACTTGGAAGAGAACAAGGACCCTAATGATGCCAGCAGCGTCCTGGTCTCCTTAGCCTTTCTCCATCTCAGGGCCTTGAAGCATTCTCAGCCCTGCTGTTAACCAGATGTAAGCCCAAGAACCACAGAGCGTGTGAGAATAAAAATATTTAGCATTATTTCCATGGCACTTGTCACGTGGTCACTATAGAAACCATCAGCATCAGCATACTACAATATTTATTTTGTTCTTCAATGTTGTAACACCCTAGGGACAAAATTATCCTTTATTTGAAAAAGGTTAAAAATGAAAGTACATGGTATATCTCTCTGCTGGATAACGGTGGGAAATGGATTTGTTGAAACCATATGGAAAGGAAGAAGGAATCAATTAAAAACAGAAATCTAATAAATCTAAAATATTTCCAAATGAAATGCTTGTGGTAAGCTAATTTCTTGTAAACATGCAGTCAAGTCTCTTGAACAGTCCCAGATGGTGAACTAACTTTGTGGTCTGAAAATAAAAACCAGCTCAAACTCTTAAGTGACTACAACTTTATTATCAGTGTCGTGGGAAACATGAATTCAAAATGCATACTTTTTACCTTTTGTGAAATTTTAGAGGTTTGTGGCGTTTTACTAAATAAATCATTTCAGCAAGAATTCGATTTCTGTATGTTTAAAGAGAAACCCCAAAATGGTAATATTAAAGTTAAAAGGTAAAACAACCATCCTTTTACTTATGTACCTTCATCCCGAAAATTTAAATATTTCTAAAAGTACCATGCTTTTAAAATCTATTGCACAGTCGATAGTCCAAAACTCCCAGAAATGTGCCCCAGTTGGTGTCTGTAGGACTGTACTTCTAAAAAAATTCACGTTTTTCCCCCCTTGACTTGAGTTATAAATAAATGCCGTGCTTTGTGCTTTGCAGAAAATATACCGGTGAAAGAAACCTCGCCCCTACCTGCTCCACTCTCAGCAGCCCCTCAGCAGAGTCTGGCCCAGGGCGCATGGGTAAGAGCTGGCACAAGGTGCCTAAAAGCAGGGCCACTTCCTTCATGCTTCTCCAACAGCAGACCAGCACCATCTGGGCAGTCACATCACAAGGTTTCCCTTCTTTACCTTGGGAAAAAAAAGACACACCAACTGCGACACTAGACACTCCTGATGACTCACACCCCAGGTTTCCTAGGACAAGCGTATGCATAACTTCCCCAAGGATAATCTGCTTGAGCAAATCGATTTGTCCTGTCTTGTGTTTACTCAAGAGAAAACAGCAAGCATTTGCGGAACATTTGCTGGGCGGGGAAGTCATGCGAAGTAGCTCCTAATACATGACGTACAAAATAGATTTTCAAGTAAAAGCATCTTACGTAATGCTGTACCTGTTCTAATATGTTATTTTCAAAATATATCTTAGATGAAACAGTGTTTCAAAACTTGAAATCCTCAACTTGGGAAATTGATGAAACCGTTCCTCTGTTGCGCAGTCAATGTAACCAGAACAGATGTAGTTTACCATCTATCGTGGTGAAGGTGGCTGTGCGACCACTAAAGGGCCAAGGCAACTTTTAAAATTAAAAAAAAATTCTCTTTTCCAAACATATTTAAACCTCATAGTCAATGAACAACGATCTTCCTCACTTGTCTTATTTTAGTTTTAAGGCTGTTTTAGTGACTTAAAATGGTACACAAAACATAGGATTAAGAGGCAGGTAAACAAAATGACAGAGTGCAATCCCAGATATGTGTTAAAAAGAAGCCCGCTGAACTGAAAGGCTGCATGTTTATACACAGATATAAAATAGGTCTAAAAGGATGTACACCAGCGGTTCTCAACCTGTGGGTCCTGACCCCTTTGGGGGTCGAATGACCCTTTCACAGGGGTCGTCTAAGACCATCGGAAAACACATATTTCTATCCTCTATCTGCCTCCAGGCAGGCCCGCCCACATGCAGATACGCCCACATAGGAGTACCCGGTGAAAACTGTGACCCAGGCTACACCATGCTTCAAGACAAAATTTCATTTATTTGTCATTAGAAATAAATATTTCACAAGATATGACATATTGTTTTTGTGATGAATCACTATGCTTTAATGATGTTCAATTTGTAACAATGAAAACACATCCTACCTATCAGATATTTACATGACGATTCATAATAGTAGCAAAATGACTTAATTAAAAAAAAAAAAACACACACACAAAAGGAACTTCCACAAGGCACTATCTCCATCTAGTGGAGATTGTAGCAGAAATGAAATAAATCACTAAAAAAGTACTGCTTCTAAGGGCCTATTGGGTCGCTCTGAGTCAAAAGGGCCTCCATCGTAGCGAGTGACAAGGGTCTTTTAGGGCCAAACAGAAAAATATATAACAATCACTAATGTTACTGTGAGCCTGAAGAACTCCAATTCTAGCGGCAGTGATGTGTTACTCCACCGGGAGACAGGCGTCCTTTCAAGCGCCTGCTTTCCACAGCGGACAGCAGGCACCGTCCTCCTGGATGCATGCGCGGTGGCCCAACGCAGGTTCCTGGCGTCTCTCTGCGGCCATTGCCCAGGCAGTCAGAGAGGGAGCTCGCCACACCTTGGCAGCTACACTGCAGCACAAGGCTCCCTGGCACAAGTCTTATAAGCTCACTCCCAAACTGACACCATTTATAAGCGCAAAGAAAACGTGATTTTCAAGGACCGCGCTTCTCCGAACTGTAGCCTCTGGTTAGCTCTATTAAGAGCGTTACATGCCTTTCTACCTTGCACTGATATAAACACTCGTTACATTATCAATTTTATGTTTCTTACCTTTCATTTCTGAGGCAGCGTCAATATTGGGCATATTAGCATTCAAGTCATCTAAATCAAAGCTAGGGTGTTCTTTCAGGACTTTGGCATGGCTGAAGTAATCATTAGTATCTCGTGGCTGGATCTCATTCAAAATCACCTGCAGGCGGCTGGCTGACTCTGAGGGGGAGAGAGGAGAGTGCATGAAAGCCCGGTGCCACCTCACCCGCAAGGATTCCAGAATTCTCAATACAGGATAATCCGCTCTTTGAATGCAACTCAGGGTAGAAAATGATCTAGTTGGGGTTTTGATACAATTTGGGTGCACATGAAAACTAAGGCCACTTCCATCGAAGAGGGGACACGACCCCTCCCGTCCATAGGACAAAGGCCTCTCTCGACTTTGGTTTTCTTAAGGTCACCCGAGAAACCTCACACACAGGACTCAATCCTGTGGGAGAACAACAAAAACTCTCAATGGATTTTTTTCCAACAGATTATTTCCCTATGGACAAGTTATCAAGGCTTAATAACACAATATTAAATGAAAATACCTCCCCAACACAGAAGCAACCTTACTAAGGAATACCATGTTGTTATGTTGTTAGGTGCCACCAAAAATCATACTATCAGGATTTCATCAAGGATCTACTATTTGGCTTTGAAATAAAATCTGTAATGCAGGCCTAGTGTGATATTAAACTTCATTTTCATTTCCTAAGCGCTCACTGGATTAGGAAATATAAGCTGCCTGAATGCATGGCTTTGTTTGCTTGTTCCCCGCTGACTCGCCGGTGCCCAGAACAGAAACTGGTTCAGATTTCTGAAACATGGTGATCACCTGCAATCAATTAAGAAATGAAAAAAAATAGCCCCTGTTGTATACACACTCCTAGACGTCTACTAAACACGCCAACTGGTATCACGATGATTCAACCCACAGCTCATGTTCATTTGCTGCTTCCTTGACATTTTACCAAAAAGAAAACAAATTTACAACCATGAAAAAGTAACACTGGTCCCAAAAGAAACTATAGGAAGACCAAGAATGACAAGAAAAGTCAGAATCACATGCTAAGAAATCTATGCACTTGCTTTCTGTGGCCTTCAAGGACACTACTCAGAATGGATGGCAAAGTCAGGGTGCAGTAGTGCATCGATGGAACATACAACTTTCCTCTAGTTCTTTAATGCTTCCTCCCTCCCACTATCATGATCCCAATTCTACCTTACAAATCTGGCTAGACCAGAGCATGTACCCTGGTACAGATAAGAGCTGGAAACACAGGGAATCAGGACAGATAAACCCCTCAGGACCAATAATGAGAGTAGTGATACCAGGAGGGGAAGGGGAAGATTGGGGGACAAAGGG